CAGTCCATTGTTGCCTACTTCAACAAGCACGCGGGGAAGTCCAAGGAGGAGGCCAAGCTGGCCTTCCTGAAGCTCATTTTCAAGTGGCCCACCTTTGGCTCAGCCTTCTTTGAGGTGAAGGTATGACACGGGAGCTCTCAGAGGGGTGTAGAGGGAGAATGGGGAGGAGGAGAAGGCCCAGGGACTCCTCCCCAGGACTGTGGGAAACAGTCCTGGTCTTGGACACCTGCCCTGATGAGGAAAGGAGGAAGCACCCTCAGCATTGTCCCAGTTGAGTGTCTTGGCTATAGGCTCTGTCTTGGGGACAGAGGGACCAGAGTTCAGTAGCAGGGAAGGCAGATGCATAAACAGGCCAGGGTAATGGCGGACAGCTTGTGTTGAGGTGGCAGAGCCCAGCAGGCACTGCCCAGACTGAGGAGAAAGGCTGAGAGACTTTCTAGAGGAGGTGACACCTGAGCTTTCTCGGAAGACCCTGGGACAGTGTTCCTGGCGGGAGGGCTGCAGGTGTGAGAGCTCAGCTCTGGGCAGGAAACACAAGTAGTTGAGTGTGGATGGGCAGAAGGTGTGAGGTAAGCTGGCTATGGTGAGCGGCAGCACTGCAGGCACTGGCTGGCCTTGGAGGGTTTGAACATGACCGGGCCAGAGGAGGCTGTGGGTGCAGGAGGGATCCAAGGGGCATGACAGAGGCAGAAGAATGGCGAGGAGCTGATATGAGAGGATGAGGGGATGGCTTTGTCACACCCAGTCTGGGAGGCCTGTTGAGAAGCTCAGCTGTGCAAAGGGAGGGAGGGAGGTAGCTGGAAGGCAGATGCAGGGCACGAGGGGGCTTTTAAAAGACGAGAGATGTGGGCTGCAAGAAAGGTCATAGTAGAGGGTCATCTGGGGACCTATGAAGGCATGTGTGGTAATACCAAGGGCCCAGCAGAGGTAGACTGTGAGGTCTTGGCAGGGCCACCACTATCTCTATGCCCCTTGCACCAAGTAGGCAGCAGGAGAGATTGACTTCATCCCAGCTTTATTCCTGTCCCCAAAAGCTTCTCCTGCCTGAGCCCCCATCTGATGGTTTCCCATCTTTCTTTGCTAGCAAACTACAGAGCCAAACTTCCCCGAGATCCTCTTAATTGCCATCAACAAGTATGGGGTCAGTCTCATTGATCCCAGAACAAAGGTAAGCAGGGGCAAGAAAGACAGGAGGGCTGGCTTCAACTGTATGACTAACACAGGTCCCAGATGGACCCCCGCTAGCCTCCATTCCCCACTCTCACATTCCACTCGCCACACGTCTTGAAAATGTGGTCTATGTTTGCTGGGTCACCATCCTTACCCCACATTTGCTCCATCAGAATCGCTCCCCTAAAGTTGCTAGTATGCTCCTTCCTACTAAATCCCATGAATTCTTTTAGTATGTGACCTTTTAGCATCATTCAGTCAGGATGGCAGGTGAGCTAGGGTCACTGCATGTCACTGCTGTTTGTGTTTATGGCCCAGAGAAGTCCTGTGCAGAAGTGGTACAGCTAGCTGGACAGGTGGCAATGCACACTTGAGACCAGCACCTTCCCCTCAGCTTCTTGTGCCCCGCGTCCTCAGTTCCTTCTCACTTTGTGGTGTATTCTCTACCCAACCCATGCACACGGTATTACCCTAGGCTCTGTCCTGTCATCTTGTCTCCCTTCTCAAACTCTCCCTGGACCATCTCTTCCAAGCCCACAGTGTCATTTCCTTCAGATTTTCCAATTTCTGCCCCAAGTACCCAACAGCCTCCTGGATTTCTTTGTCCAACTAGCTAGTCCAAACCAAGGCATGGAGGGGAGTCCATGGTAGAGCTGGCCTTTCCCTCTGGCCATGCTCTCACTCAAGGCCTGAAGCATTTGGTGATGGAGGCATCTGTAGGCTCTGGAGCTGAAGGGAGTGAGGCCAGAGGGTGGCCTTCATGCCCTTTTTCTGTTTGAGACAGTCTCACTCTGTTAGCCTGTGTAGAGTGCTCTGGCATCATAGCTTATAGCAACCTCAAACTCCTGGGTTCAAGTGATCTTCCTGCCTCACCTTCCTGAGTACCTGGGACTACAAGTGCTCACCACAATGCCTGGCCAATTTTTCTTTATTTAGCAGAGATGGGGATCTTGCTCTTACTCAGGCTAGTCTCGAACTCCTGACCTTAAGCAATCCTGCCTCCGTGGCCTCCCAGAGTTCTAGGATTACAGGTGTGAGCCTGGCTATCTTCATGTCCTTTCTGCTCCCCTAGGATATCCTGACTACTCACCCCTTCACCAAGATCTCCAACTGGAGCAGCGGTAACACCTACTTCCACATTACCATTGGGAACCTGGTGCGCGGGAGCAAACTGCTCTGTGAGACGTCACTGGTGAGAGTTCTTCCTGCAGGCCTGGTGGGCTCCCCAGCTCACCTGCAGCTTAGCCATCCTCCCAGCCCCTGGGTCAGGTCAGGTCAGTTTGAGGCTCAGCTTAGGGCTAGAGAATAGAACCCTCATTCAACTTGAGTGCCTTTAGTATCTGCAGGTTGAGCCCTGAGTTCACTGGTACGACCACCAGCAATGGGACTCCCGGAAGGGGCTCAAATTTCTAAGGACAGTCCAACTCGAGAGCCTTTGGAGTCATTCCTGGAGGGAGGGAGCCACGAGCTAGGGACTCACTGTGGGGTCATTACAGCTTAGAACCTCAACCATCCAGCTGGATAAATCCTACCTTTCAGCTGTGCAGATGGGGAGACTGAGTCCTGAACAGGACAGAATTTGCCTTTTGTCCTGGGTTCTGTCCACTGCAGAAGTCAGAACCACGTTCTGGGTCTCAGTGGCTAGTCCTGTCCACTCACTGCCCTGCTCCTGCTCTTACTCCTGCTTCCAGGGCTACAAGATGGATGACCTCCTGACCTCCTACATTAGCCAGATGCTCACGGCCATGAGCAAACAGCGGGCCTCCAGGAGTGGCAAGTGAACAGTGGGGAGGAGGTGCTGGTTCCATGCCTGCACACGAGGCAACAGTTGGCTCCGGCCGGCATCTAACCCTGCAGCTGGGAAAGATTTGCCCTCTAGGCAGGGAGGCCGGGTTGGCCTCTGACCTTCTTCCAGGGAGGCAGCCTCTCTGGGATGCAGACCCGCCCTCCACCCAGCCCTGTGGTGTCTGGGTTGGTCTGGCCCTAGCTTGCTGTGGCCTTCCCAATTGTAAGAGCCCATGCTCCTTGGATGGCTCTCCTGTCTCAGAACCACCCTACTGTGCAACTTCCTTTGACTTTTTGTGTACCATGAGGACAGAGTAACCAAGAGGACAGTCTAGCTCTCCAAACCAGGAGCAACTAAACCAAATGTGCACTGAACAGAACACTCAGTGGGCTGAGGGAGACAGAGCACTTTTATCTATCACAGTGTGAGTGCCGGGCCCCTGCTTCTGTCTCCCAGGATCACCTCAGGGCATAAAGCATGTGTTTCCTCCTCTGGCCCGCCAGTGTCTTTGCTGGGGAAGGGAAATGGGAGGGAGGGCATGTGGGGTCAGAGCAGGTCTCTGTAGGGCAGGGTCCTCTGTAACTACTTCTTTGGTCCGTGTCTGCCAGAGCCCAGCTGGTCTGAGGGTTGGGGAACTTAAGCTCAAAGTGCGCTTAAAAGTGGCCTTAAGGGACCAACTGGGACCTGGGTGGGTTGGGGGAAAATGCTGGACATCAGCCTGGAAGATGGAGACTTAAGTGTGCATGGGCTGGAGGTGTAGGGGAGGAATCAGCTTCTGGGCCTTCACTGGGACCAGTGGAGCTGAAGTGGCCCTTGCACCTGTTAGAAAGATCTTCTAGGTTATCAAGACATGTCCAAGAACCCCAAGAACTATGCTGCTTTGGGTTAAATCCTTATGTCTAGTGGGTACCTGAAAAATGTTGCTTTGTGACTAGCATGGGGCAACCAAGTTTGTACATGAATGGGTTAGGTCAGGAGTGAACACTTCAGACAGAGAAGGTGTACCATGGGTGGGGTATGGGATGTGGTGGGGGTGACTGCCTAGAGATGTGCCGGTGGAGGTTCCTCTTTAGGTAAGAGGGTTTGGGATCTGCCCTCAAGGCTGGGACCCTCAGCAGGGCTGGGACCTGCTAGCCCTCAGATGTGGATGACCCAGACACTTAAGTCCCTGACCAGGTACCCCTTAGGGAATGCTATCCCTCAGTTCCCCAGCTGTCCATGTAGGAGGGGGAGGGGCTCGTGTGTGTACACAGAGGCCCCCAACAAGACTGCTCTGCTTTCTGAGGTGATAAGGTGGCTGTTGAATGGGACAGCCGTGCCCATCAGTGTTCAGACGGCTGCCAGTCAGCCCAGGCTAAAGCTGAGGCAGAAGAAAGTTCTATGGCCTCCTGCCCCCACACCATCAAGTAGCAGCTGAGGCCAGAAAGGAAGTGTGAAAGAGTGAAGGCCACACAGTGAAACTGCTAACATTGGGCTCCCAGACAGAGGGGACCCAGATATGTTCTCTGAGCTGTAGTTTTCCCTCTGGGTCAAAAGCTATTAGGAGAGCATGGGCTATGCCACCACCCCACTGGGGAGTCAGCGAACCACAGGCTCTTAGGAAGTACTCACTGCACACTGGATCAGAAAGTCTGTGTGCAGGGGATGAGATCTTTGCCCTGATCCATGCCCACGACCCCTCTCCTGCTCTGACTCAGGGTGGCATTGTACCCACCCTACAGGTTATCACAGAGAGGTCTAAAGAATACACCATTGCCCTCCAGCGTCCTGAGAGGTTCCTTTATTTATAGACACAGTCACTCTTTTAGCGGGAAACACTAACTGTCATGATGAAACAAACAGTGTAGCATCCAGAGAGCAACCAGCTTCAGTTTCCAGACCACACACACTGTCTTCCCCAGGCCTGTGCCCTTTCTTGATAGAAAGGCTAGACCAAAATGGTTCCCAAGAGCCCCAAAGGCCCTTCTGCGTGCCTTTATTGATCACTCCCCACCACCACTGTAGAGAGGAAGAGGAAAGAGGGGGGAGAGGTGTGGCTAATCCTTTACAAGCGTTCAGAGGACGGGCTGTACATGATAGACTGTACAGTTGTATAGGTGTCACGGGAAGATGAAGTCCTGGCGATCTCTTGGGGGTCTCTTCTTTCAGGACGGAGAGCACCTGTGGAGGGCACTGTTGGTTTATCCGCCTGCCAAGCAGGTACTGTAGTTTGGAGGGTGGCCTTATTGGTAGCTTTATAGCTGGGTGCCCGGGGGCTCGGACTAGGGGCTGGTGGTTGAATGTCACGAGTGGCAGGCTTCAGAGGTGTGACAGAGTTTGTGATAGGTGCTGGTTTCTTGGAGGGTACCCCGTATTCCTTTGAATTCTTGGTTAAAGCTGGGTTAAAGGCATCTAAGCTCCAAGGACTTTTCGTACGGGTGGATGGGTTCATGGATGAGCGTGAAGCTGCCTCACTTAGGTTTGTACTCCCACTACCTGTGAGGTAGAAAAGACACAAATGCATATTCCTCTGCCAGTCATGTGTGAAATCCAAGTCATTTCTCAAATGTTAGCCCTTCATTTAGCCTCTCAGGTTCTTTCCCCCAAGTTCTCCTCTCCCCTTCAGACTTCATGACACTCTACTATGGCCTGGGGCTGGGGCTCAAGAGTTCCGTGTGATGCTCTAGCTTACCGTGGAAGCCCTGGGAAAGCAAGGACCGCCATTTGCTTAAAGTTCAGATTTTTCACAGCTGTTGGTTCCACATTAGATTCAATAGAAAATGGAAGCTTTTAAAGGACAGAAACTTTGTCTTGCTAATCACTGTATAGGTGGTGCGTAGAACTATATGTCACACAGTAAGCACTTAATGAGTAATTTTTGTCTTACTGATAGAAAAAAATAGATGGTAAAGATTTCTTATAGTAATGGAGCTAAAAACTGAAACCAACTCTTTTACCAAGGACAAATTAGAAACAAGATGATCTATAAAAATTTGTAGATATAAATTATATAAGAGTTAAATTTATCTTTAAATTATCTAAGAGTTTACAATGTAATGAGAAACTGTGGAGCGAAAATCTAGAAGAATCCAAAGAAGTAAGCTCAGAATTCAAAGTTGTTGTTGTTGCTATTATTATATTTTTCTTAAATTTACCTCCTTCTTTTTTTTTTTTTTTTTTGTTACTATGGATGCTCAGTTATTTTTGACCTGAATATAATTCAATCTGGAAAAAACAGCTGCACATATGAGCTGCTTTTTTTTTTTTTAATTAGCGCCATAGAAGAAAGAGGATTTCTATTGGATTTGAATTGTATGTCAATCCCATGGCAACTAATGTCTTTGTGATAATAGATTTTCTAGTTCATAAACATGATATATTGCTCCCTTATTTGAGTTTTCTTTTTTTTTTTCAGTAAAGCCTTGTAGTTTTCAGTGATCAGTCATGTACCTTTCTGATCAAAGTCTATTTTGTCTGATACTAGTATAGCCAACTCTGCTTTCTTCATCTTTTTCCATCCTTTTACTTTTGATCTATTTGTGTCTTTGAATTTAAAATGAATCTCTCATAGACAACATATAGTTGGACCGTGTTTTTTTTAAAATCCATTTTGCCAATCTCTATCTTTTGACTGAAAAAGTTTAATCATTAATAAGGATAAATTTAGTCCTGTCATTTTGCCATTTATTTTCTATAAAGGAGTTTTTGTTCCTCATTTCCTGCATCTGTCTTTTGATAGTTTTCTTCTAATATGTCTTGGGGTGGGTTTGAATTCATCTTATTCCACATATCTTGAGGTTTTTTGATATTTATATTCATCTTTTTCACCAAGGCTGATAAAACTGGAAAACTTCTAGTAAAACTGATCAATAGTTTAAAAATGAAGGCATAAAATTATTAAGGGATATGTGGGTACAGATGCTGCAATCATCTGCAATATACTATTTTGCTGATAAATGTGAAAATTTAGGTCAGTAGTTCTCAAAGTATCATTTAGGGACCTCTGGAGGTTTCTGAGAGAGTCTTTTAGGGGGGTTCATGAAGTCCAAATTACCTCCATAATAATACTAATATGTTATTTGATATTCTCATGCTCCCATCAATGTATAGTGGAGTTTTCCAGTGGACACATGATAGGTGATAGTGCAAGAGTTTGAATGCAGAAGCAGCAATGAGAATTCTTGTCATATACTAATCTAGACATTAGAAAGATCTGTAGAAATGTAAAATAACTGCTATATTTTTCTTTTGTAAAATAGTTATTCTTAAAAATTAGTATTTATGTTATATACATAAAGGGGTTTTTAAAAATTACTTTAAAATAGTAAATATTTTTAAATTTGTAATATGGTAAATACTGGTAGGTAGCAGACATACTAAGGATCAGGAAAATATGATCCATAGCCAGAGGATGATAATAGAAATGGATCCATGAATAACAGATGATATAACTAGCAAACAAATAATAATAATGAACAACTATTACAACTCTGTCCAGATATTTAAAGCAAACATGAACATAATGAGGAGAGAAAAGGAAGATTAAAAAAGAACCCAATGGAAGTTCTAGAGATGAAAAATATATTTGAAATAAAAATGTCTCTGCTTTAAATTAACAGCAGATTAGATATTATAGAAGAAAAGATCAGTGAAGTTGACACAGTATGTGAGGCAAAATTCCATGACATCCCTTAAGATTCCAAGATTCCCAACCTTTGGTATATACCTCGTGTATAATCAATCCCCTTCCCTTGAGTGGGGTGAGACTTGTAACTATGATAGGACAGTTATCCCCTTGATTAGGTTATATTATATGACAAAAGTGATAGGATAGTTACTGGCGTGATTATATTACACTACATAAGACTTCTTCATAGCAGACTAGAGAGATATTCTCTTGTTGGCTTTGAAGAAGTATGTTGTGAGGATCATGTGGCTAGGACCTGAGGGTGGCCTCTAAAGAGCTGAGAGCAAAACCCTGCCAACAGCCATCAAAAAAATCAGGATGACTTCAGTCTTATAATTATGAGGAATTAATTTCTGCTAATAACCAGGGAGCTTGGAAAAGGACCCTAAACTTCAGATGACATTGAATCACGGATACCTGATTTTAGCCTGGTAAGATGCTACAGAAAGGGCCTGTCTAACCTGCGCCTGTGAGATAGATTTGTGTTTTAAGCTGCTAGCTTTGGGTAATGTTTTACATAGCAATGAAAATGAATATACACAGAAATAGAATCTATCAAAAAATGAAGCAAATATATAGGCTAAAAATGAACAGTCTCAGTAATCTATGGAATAATATCATATTCTGTAATAGCTGTATAATTGGAATCCCAGAAAGCAATGAAGCAGAGGGACAGAAAAATATCTGAATGAATAAATAAAGACTTAAATTTTTCCAATTTGATGAAAATTATACTCTAAGATTTTCAGCAAAACCTAAGCAAGATAGTTTCTCTCTCTCTCACACACCTATACCACAGTAAACTATAATCGAACTTCTGAAAAAGACGTAAACAGGGAAACAAAGGTAAGAAAACTGCAGAGTTTTCATGAGAATCTATGTAAGACAGAAGACAAAGTATTGACTCCTTCAAATTGCTTAAAAAAAAAAAAAACCACACCCTCAAGCTAGAGAGAAAATGAATGCCTTCTAGTGGTGGATGTGGCAGAGTGGGTACAGGAGTACATGCCCATCCTGGAGGTGGCTGTGGTGCAAGATATGGCACTCTGTGCGTGGTGTACGAGGCTCCGAGAGGCTCTGTCTTCCTCCACCTGAATGGCTGGACTGTGGCGTGGCTGAGGTCTCGGCTTCTGTCTAGTCTTCCTTGTTCCTTCTCTGATTCTAAACATGGTCCTGAACCTTCTAGGTATCTCTTGGAGGTACCCCAATAGCCTTTCAATATATTTTTCTTTCTACTTGGATTAGGCAAAACTAGTTTCTGTTAACAGGGAATTAAAATGCTTAAAAATAGAGAAAATTCCTTATTTTCTATTTCTTTTTTTTTTTTTATCACCATTTCAACATGGTAGGGGATGGGATAGAGTTAACTGACTACTTTTTCTAAAGCATGATAACTACTTCCTTTATGCAAATGTATACAGTTCTTCAATTTTACCTTCAAAACTTCTTTCCTATCCATGTTTCATCACCATTTTATGTTGTGTCTTTATAAGAAAAGGAAGAAAGACCAGTGATCTTTCTCCTCAAGCACATGGACAGGAAAGGTCAGGTGAGAACAGACCAGCAGGGCAGCTATCTAGAAGCTAGGACGAGATCTCTCACTATAGGTATTCACCATATTTGCCAGCACATTGATCTTGGATTTCCAGCCTCCAGAATTGTGAGACAATAAATTTCTGTTGTTCAAGTCACCCAATCTATTGGTTTTTGTTATGGCAGCCCTAGCTTACTAATACAAGTACGGATAATCATAAGGTAACTAGAATATAGCCTTCAGACTTCTTAATACAGCCAGCTGAGTGGTCTTCTTAAAATCCACGTAACTCAGAGTTGCCTGAGATCTTGCTGCCACATTGGGATTTGGGTGAACTTGGCTTAAACCTTCAGTTTCACACACATGAAAGTCCAATTTGCTTTCCATTCAAATTGTTCAGATTTCTAAACTTATTTTTTCATGGTCCCTTCCTGCAATCCTGTGTTGTATCGGTTCAACCATCTTCCAGCAAGCACAAAGAATCACAGGACCAGCACCATTGCCCACAGGAGGCTAAGGTCACTCATGATTTTGTGACTGTACCAACTGTACTGAAGGTCCAGGAGCAATGGAAGGAAATTATATCCCAAGTCTGCTGCCGCCTCATTGGTTTTCCCTTTGACGCTGCCCTGGCTTTCAAAACTACTAACTCACTGTGTGATTATCCCCACAACTCTCTAAAAATGAACTCTAGCCTTCCTCCCTTGGCTGGAACTATTTACTTCCTCAGCCCCCGAGTTATTCTGCTGAATAAATATTTCCAACATTTTACACAGAAATCTCAGGATATTGCGCCCTCGCGTGAAACTCATTTGCCATTTCCTGATTGCTGCTGATAGGCAGAGATTAGACTCTTCTCTGGCATTCTGGGACTTCTGAAGTTTTCTTCCTCCAGCCTCCAACATACATTCCCGCAAATGAAGCCCCATAAAGCACCTCCAGTCCTAACGGGTGTGGCAGCTGCTCTGTCCTGGACCTACATGCCTGGCTCTGAGGGTCAATGCTACATTTTTGCCTGCTTCCTCACTGCTCTTTGTGGGCCAGCTCTCCTCTCTCCTGGGCCACCCTCCACAGACAGCTTTCAGTTATTTTTCAGTTAACCCTTTCTAGTGCCTGGTACAAAGTGAGTACTCAATAACTGTTTGATACAGGAGGAAGGGAACAAATAAACACCCATGCCTGAAATCTTCCAAGGGAGCTCACTGCTTAGAGAGTTCAGTCTACAGCCTGAAGCCTGATATAGAGGACCCTCCAGAATCTGTGCCCAGCCTATGTTTCCCCTTCCCCAGTTTCCCAGACACCCTAAGCTCTTGTCATGAAAAGCAGACGGGAAAGAGACAAAGAGATAGGAGTGGGGTAGACCTCAGACTTTACCTGTGTGAATGCTGGCGATTTCAAACAATTGTCCCCTTTTGGCCTCTCTCTGCCTGCAAGGAAGCAGACCATTCATGAACTCACAGATCCCTTCTAAGAAAGGCAATAATCCAAGGCAGTAAAGAAGCATTATCTAGTCGGATTTTCATTTAAGCAGAGGGTTGGGCTTCCCCTCTTTAAAGGATACATCACCACATGATGGGGTTGAAAGAACCATGGTATCTTCTAACATTCCTCTTCCAGGATGCTCCTTCCCTTCTCCACCTTCAATCTTGCAATCCTGTAGCATTTGGCTACAAGGATTCTCAAATGTCATCTTCTTGGACAAATAGAGACTCTGGCCCAGAAAGGGGGAATGATTTTCCCAGGGTCACCCAGCAACTAAGGGTGCAAAGCTAGGGCTAAATCCCGGGCTTTCTAGTTTGTGAGCTTGCTCTTTGCACAGTACCCTGCTATGTCTGATGTCATGATGGTAGGAAGATGGAGGCACTTGTTCTGGTAACCTTAAACCTCTGTCCTCTCCCAGCTGCTCCACACTGAATGCATAATGATAGACTTGACTAAGTTTTTACTTAGTCCTTATCCTGACAATGCTGTCTCGTGTTGGGGAAGTCAAGCAGTATGAGAAGCTGCAGACAGTATGAGAAGAAATGAGAGGTTCAGATCGTAAACCCCATCTTGCCATGCAGGATTACAGGAAAAGTATGACTCTGTTTTTTCTCAACTTTCTGTAAGAACCCAATTCATTACATTGGAAATTAACAAATACATACTTACCAGTAAAAATAAAATATGCCAAAAATGAAAATTGCAGAAATAATATCTGTGAGAAGCCACAACAACATATAGAACCTTGGTGTCTGCAAAAACATAAAACAAAACATAAACACCTTTACAGTTCGAGGGGATTTTAGATCTCATGGCCAAGTCCTTTGTTTTGCTGCCAGGACTTGAAAAGTAGAAGAAAGGGATCAGATCAGGTGGAAGAACCTTGACTGATGTGACATTCGCAAACACAGAGTACTCGCAGTATCCTCACAGTCACTGGGACACATTCAGGGGGCTCTCCAAGGGACAGAACACTGTGCAGCCTTCACTTCCCTTGACTGTCAAGACAGAGGTTGCAGGTGGTCCCAGAGCAATCACACAGCAAGTCTGCTCTGGACCCGGACTGCAGCCCAGGTTTCTGGACTTCTACCGCCCTGTGATTTGGGGGCATGGCTTCTCAAACCTGGCCATGCAGCCAAACCTCCCTTTCTCTTAGTTATACATGTTTCCAGGTCTCACCACAGACCTAACACATCGGGATCTCTGCCTTTTAACATGCTCCCCAGGTGATGCTGAAGTAACCAGTCTGTGAACCAGCATTTGGAAATCACTGTTCTAAATCACCCTGTTTCAGTAAGTATGCTGAAGTATAATTCCCCCTCACTAGAGGCCCTCTCCTCTATGCAACTTGAGCAAATAACCTATTTCCCAGAACTCCATCTCCGTGTGAATTTTATAATTCCCTGATTTGATCCTCCCTTTCTACTTCCATTGCTCCCTTTCCAATGTCACTTGATACTATGGGGCTGGCACTTTTTATTCATTTTCAACCTTATCCCAAGGTCTTCCCTTGAGTTAAATAATAATATTAATAGAATCCAGCCCAGGCCCACCAAACAACAATGACAGCTGCAACCAAAAAATAGCCAGGCATTGTGGCAGGTGCTTGTAGTCCCAACTACTTGGGAGGTGGAGGCAGGAGAATCACTTGAGCCCAGGAGTTGAAGGTTGCTGTTAGCTGTGATGCCATGGCACTCTCTACCCAGGGCAACAGCTTGAGGCTCTGTCTCAAAAATAAAATAAAATAAAAATACTAATGATCACAATAATAAGATAGTAACTACGAGTTAATGAACATTTACCAGGAGCCAGGCAAGTGTTCTGAGCACTATAGGGGTATTTTAACAATCCTTACAACAGCCCTACTTGTAGAAGCTTTTACCCAAATGCTATGGTCTGCTGACTGCTCCAGGATGCCTTCCAGGTAAGCTGAATGTTCCCCTTGTCAGTCATCCTTGTTCCCCAGATGGCTTAGGTCAACTGTATTTGTTATTATAAATGTGTGTTATTATAATTAGATGCTGCTTAAATCTCTAAAATCTGGGGAAAAAACGTATATCATTTTCAAGAAAACTAAGTCAAATGCTTTGTAAAACTCAACAAACACAGAATAAGTCATTAAAAATAAGCTGCAATTTGATTAGGTGTGGATGAAGCACTACAAGAAATTGGTGTAAGGGGACTAGAAAGATTTAGGTGTATTACTCATTCAGATTGATTCTCCCAATCTGAATGATTGGCTCTTGTTCTTCTTTAAAGAGCTTGATAAGCTCTTGTTCTTTTTTAAAAAAACAAAAATTAGAAATCATTCCTAGGTCATTTGAACACTTAAATAACCATGAAAACATAGAATTCAATTAGCCAAAGTATCCTCAAAGAAAAGACTACTTCTATGTTAAAAGGTAAGTATTTTAAATTAAAATAAAATGTGTGTGTGGCATACTGTTTATAAAAATGACCACAAAATTCCCTCCAAAGCACACATGCAGGCTCCTGCACAATGTGACTTAGCTGTGAAGTCTGTTTCTTATCTACCTTGAATCTGGACTTGGCCACGAGGTTTCCTTTGGTCAATGGAATATCCACAACCTAGCATTGGGAGAACCTTGGAAAGTGTGTGTGCTTTGGGATTTGACCTCTCTTGCTGCTGGGAACCCATCACTACCAGGTGAACACACTCAAGGTAGCCTCCTCAAGGATAAGCAAACACATGAAGAGAGGCCCTGGCCACCCCAGGTGAGACTCTAGACAAATCAATGAGGCCGTCACAGACCATCCAGCTCAGTCAAGCTGTATCTCACCAGAGAAACTACTTAGCCATCAGTCAAACTATGAGACATAATATTTGTTTAAGATATTAAGTTTTAGTTGTTTTTTTTTAAGCATTAAAGGCTTACAGATAGAATCTCTCAATCTCTCTCTCTTTCTCTAGGATTCCCCACTTTAACTTTCTCAATTACCAGACCAATAATCAGATCAGATTGTGCTAGATAAAAGTGCTTCTATTGCACCATTATTCCCAATTTACAAAAGACAAAATGCAAAACCACTAAAAACCTGAGGCCCAAACAGGTTAATTAGCATTTGCAAGTTCATACAGTAAGTGGTAGAGCCAAGATCTGAAACTACAGGGCAGCCTAGAAAAGCCCCTGGACACCAGCCCCACAGCCCTGAAGAAAATGGCATGGGATATGGGCTAGGAACCATGCATTGGGTCCTTTTAAAAAGCTCAGGCTAGGGTGGAAGGTAGGAAGTTTGTTTTTTACTTATACCCTTTTATGCTTTTTGAATTTTAAACCACATGAATTTATCAATTCAAATATTAGAATTAAAATGCTATCAGGAAAGCACCATTTAAATAAATATGACTCCCTTCTCCAAAGGGATAACTTTGAGAGATTACTGATTTATGGGTATTGGACTATGGAGTATATTGCTTTCTAAATTATGCATTTTCATAATGACTGAATTTTACAATGTTAAAAAATAATACACAGTATAGGGATAGGTGGGTGTAGAGGATTCACCTGTACAGAGGGACCTGTCATCAAAGTTTCCTTCAGGATCATCTCAAGAAACCTGCTCAAGCCATCAGAGAAAGAAGGAAACAATGATTTCACATTTCTACCACAGGCTTTTAGTGCAGTATGGCCCTATGAGACAATAACTTTGACCCTGATCTTCTCTCTCCTGGTCCTGACCCTGAACAGGTGAGAAACTAGGCCTGGTGAGAGTGTAGTATGGAGAATCTGAGAACCCTCCCTACTTAGGCTTCTCGGCCTAAAGCTTTAACTTGCAAACTTTTTTCAGTTGGGAGTTTGGGCTATTATTGCTTTGGACTGGACACTTTAATTCTGAAGTATGATTTTTGATGACTACAGTGAACTTTTGATACTTATCTAAGAGTGACTGAAAAAGCTATGTGACCTGAGAGATTTCATTCAGGGGCAGGGAAAGGCCTAGCTCTCAGACCAGGTTTACAGAATCAATGGAACAAAATTAAACTGATTTCTGTTGCATATGCTATCATGTCCCACCCAGTCAACCTGCTTGCCATACAAATAAGAAAAACAGACTATCTAGTCCATCTGGCAGTCCTTCTACGGATAATGAGTGATGGTATATAGCTGGGATATTGTAAACCAAGTCTCCAGGTCTCTAGTGTCTGGCACTGAGCAACAGAAGGGCTAGAACAGAAAAGTGGGTTAAGTAAGTAGATGCTGGCTGCACTCTTTAAACGTATTTTTTTTTTTTTGAGACAGAATCTCAAGCCCTGGGTAGAGTGTTGTGACATTCCAGCTCACAGCAACCTCCAACTCTTGGACTTAAGCGATTTTCTTGCCTCAGCCTCTCAAGTAGCTAGGACTACAGGTGCCCGCCACAACGCCCAGCTATTTTCTGGTTGTAGTTGTTATTGTTGTTTGACAGGCCCAGACTGGGTTCAAACCCGCCACCGTAGGTGTATGTGGCTGGCGCCCTTGCCGACGGAGCTACGGGTGCGGCCAAATAAGTATTTTTGTTTGTTTGTTTGTTTTTTGTTTAGGACACACAGTTTTCACGTTGGAGTCAAGTACACTTGTTTTTCTCCCCACACCCCATTCCATTGTCCATTGTTGCCAAGTCTCTAGGAAGGTGGGGCTGCAGTAACAAAACTATGGCGTCGACCTTATTCTAAATCCCACATCGTGAGAGCATATGCAAAGATATCTTTGAGCTTCAGTTTCCTCACAGGAATAACAACAGTGGCTAATCCAGAGGATTAAAATTTAATATACCCAAAGTACATTGTAAGGATCAAATAAATGTCAATTATTCTAACTATAATTTTTCCCTGAAAATCACAGAAGGCTCTGGGTAAGCCACAGAGCCATGGAAAATGCCACATCTCCAATATTCATAGATGTCTGTATGCTTAAGTAGCTCCTGGAGATTGCACAGTGGGCAACATAGGGGTGAGAGACCTGTCCTATTACTAAACCAGGCTTGGAAGAACAATCCGGACAACCAGCTCACCATGAAGAAGTAAGGGTGATTAATCTGGCTCAGGAGCGAAATGTTGTCTGTGGTCACTGAGTTAATACTGGCGCACCAGGCCATTGAGAAAAGCCAAGGCTCGTTGATGATGTATAAGTTGATCTTGATGTTGGCTTTTATATAATCTCTGGAACAAAAACAGAACCCACGTGGGATTTAGACCCAGTTTCACTCTCATTACCTAAAAAAAAAAGAATAGCCATCATGTTTGTGAAAGGCTGTTGCCTAAATCACCAGAAGCAGCTGGTCTGGGGACAACTCATCATTTGATGTGACAGAATGGGTTCATGGTACAGTGAGATAAAGGGATGGATTTAGTATCTCTGCTCCTGTAGCAACAGTGGAATGCTGGTACACTAGATGTCCTAAGGGAAATTAAGAAATAAGAGAGGAAAAAATAAATTAAAGAAGAAAGACAAAGAAAAGGAGAGAATAGGGAAAAAAGAAAAAGGAAAGCCTAACTATAGCACTTGCAAATTTCCATGGTAAAAATACTCCTGTCACAGCCGGTTGTAAGCTACCACTGGTAAAACCAATTTGCAGTGTCTGAGTATTTAATAACTGCCTTCTACAAGCTGGTGTGAGCTGGTTCTGGCGCCTGACTGTGCGGCAGCACTGATACTTTTATCCAAGTGCTTGCTGCCACCTATGATCTGTTCACCTGTCAGTCTTCTTTAGTTGACTGTAAGAAAACTGAAAATAGAGACTAGGCTTATTTTTCTCTGTATATCCAGCACAGCATTATATGTGGCTCCATAAATATTAATTGAAAAAAAAAGTTAAAAAAAAGAAAAAATACATAAGTGAATACCAATCTAGTAAACATTTCAAATTTCAGATACAGTAGAACCTCTGTAAGTTAACATCCAAGGGACTGTAACAAACTGGTCAACATATGCTAGGCCTAGTGCACGGATATGTACATGTGGTGCCTGTCTGACCTATGAAAATTAGGTCAACTTAAGGAGGTGATCAATGTAGGGAGGTTAACTGTGGAGGTTCTACCGTATAAGGAATTTTTAAAAGTATTGAGTGGGGGGAATAAAACCCAACTTTTGTCAAGGTACTAAATGTCAATATAGAGATAGGAAGAAAATAAGTATTGGAATACCTAGTCAATTCTAGTCAAATTGCCATTTTCAAGGATTTGATTTCTCAGAGAATACACCGTGTAAGTACCTTCAAATTATGTTTAATCCTAAAATGATATGGCATATGGGAAACTGCTCTGTACAAGTCTGGGTTTGAATCCTAGCTCTGGCATATACTAGCTGAACAAGTTCTTACCCTCAGTGTGTAAACTGTAAAATAATAATAATACTTCCTTTAAAGGGATGCTGGCAGTTAGTTACCCAATGTGTTAGAATTATCTCTGAGACCATTCTACCAGATCACTTAAAAGTAAGTTTAAAAAATGAAATTATGAAAAAGTAGTAAAAAGTTACTTATCTTTTGAAACTTATACTCAAAAACCAATCACATTTCTAAATATTAATAAGCAATATTAGAAATAAAATTAAAAACACTATCATTAACTGTCATTCCAAAGTAAACTAAATACTGAGGAATGAACTCAAGAAAACAAGTATAAGATGTCTATGATGAAAATTACAAAATACTTCTGAACATAATCAAAGAAGATTTAAAAAAGAGAGAGGTGTTCACAGATTGAAAACTCAGCACAGTAAAGATGTCAGTTCTCCTCATTTTTTGTTTTTTAAACAGAGTCTTACTCTGTCACGCTCTGTGGCATCATACCTCAGAGAAACCTCAAACTCTTATGATCCCTTTGCCTCAACCTCCTGAGTAGCTGGGATTACAGATGTCCAACACTATAGCTGGCTAATTTTCCTATTTTTAGTAAAGACAGAATCTTCTTGCTCAGGCTGGTCCTGAACTCCTGAGCTCAAGGGATCCACCTGCCTCGGCCTCCCTGAGTGCTGGGATTACAGATGTGAGCCACTGCATCCAGCCAGTTCTCCTCCTATTGATCTATGAATTTAATGTAAGTCCTATAAAAATCCTGGCAATAGGCCAGATGGTTCTAAAATGTATATGGAAAGGCACAGCCCCAGAATAACTAAAACCATCTAGGAAAAGTATACACTGAGAGAAAACCACTTTACCCGACATTGAGGTTTACTGTATAGCTATAGTAATCAAGACGTACGATATTAGAGGAGGGACAGACACATCAATCAATGGTACAAAACAGAAAACCCAGAACTAGCATCACACAAATATGGCCAAATTATTTTAGATAAAGGTGTGAAAGCAATTCAACAGAAGAAGAGTAATCTTTTCAACAGATGATGCTGGAGCAACTGGACAGCCACAGGCCTCCCTTCCCCACCCTCCAGTGAAGAATCTTGATCTTCAAACTATACACGTTAAACAAATATTGAGTCAAAATGGATCGTAGCCTTAAAAGTATAATGTAAATATATAAAACTTTTAGAAAAAATTTCTATTTCTTGAGATCTTTGAAATCTAGAGTTAAGCAAAGATTTCTTAGAGAACTCTAAGATGCTAATAAAAGGGAAAACGGATTAGCCTGACCCCATCACATTTAGAAAAACTTTTGTTCTGTGGAAGACCCTGTTAAGAAGATGCTACAGGTAGCTAAAGACAGGGAGAAAATATGTGTAAATCAGACATCCAACAAATGATTCGGATCTAGAATTTATAAAACTAACGATCCAACCCCCCCCAAATGTGTATTCAGACATCCAACAAATGATTAATACCTAGAATATATAAAACTAACGATTCAAACCCCCCAAAAATCCAATTAGAAAAAATATAAACAGACATTTCAATAAAGAGGATACACCACTGGAAAATAAATAACATGATACGATGTTCATCATCATTAGCTATTAGAGAGTGAAAACCAATGAAATATCACAAGAAAGCTTTCACAGGAACACTAAGATTTTACTGAGAATTTTTGCATCCATATTCAATAAGGATATTAGTTTACAGTTTTCTATTTTAGCTGTGTCTTTTCCTGGCTTTGGTATCAAGGTGATATTGGCTTTGTAGAATGAGTCGGGGAGGATTCCTTCTTTCTCAGTGTTACGGAATAATTTCTGCAGTATAGATACAAATTCTTTTTTGTAGGTTTGGTAAAAATTTGGGCATGAAACCATCTGGTCTAGGACTTTTTTTTTTGAGACAGTCTCACGCTGTCCCCCTGGGCAGAGTGCCGTGGCATTACAGCTCACAGCAACCTCCAACTCCTGGGCTCAAGCGAGTCTCCTGCCTCAGCCTCCCAAGTAGCTGGGACCACAGGTGCCCACCACAACGCCCGGCTATTTTTTGGTTGCAGTCATCATTGTTGTTTAGCAGGTCCAGGCTGGATTCGAACCCGCCACCTGAGATGTATGTGGCTGGTGCCTTAGCCACTTGAGCCACAGGCACTGAGCCATCTAGGACTTTTTTTGTTGTTAGAAGATTTCTGTTTTTTAAAGACAGAATCTCATTCTTTTGCTCTGGGTAGAGTGTTGTGATGTTTTTGAGCTCACAGCAACTTCAAACTCCTGGGCTCAAGCGATCCTCTTGCCTCATCCTCCTGAGAAACTGGGACTGCCACCACACCTAGCTGGTTTTTCTATTTTTAGTAGAGACAGGGTCTCACTCTTCCTCAGGCTGGTCTTAAACACCTAAGCTCAAGTGATCCACCCATGTTGGCCTCCCAGAGTGCTAGGATTATAGGCACAAGCCACTGTCTGCAGACTGTTGGAAGATTTTTTTTTTATTGTTGCTTCAATTTCAGTGCTTGATAGTCATCTGTTGAAGAATATATTTCTTCCTAACCGAGCCTAGGAAGGTTGTGTCTTTCCAAGAATTTGTCCATTTCCTCCCTATCTTCATGTTTATGAGCACAGAAATTTTTATAGAATTCATATATGAGGTTTTATATTTCTGTGATGTCAGTTGTGATTTTTTTCATTTTTAATTGAGCTTATAAAGTCCTTTCTTTTCTGTTTCTAGTTAATCTAGTAAGAAGCTTATCAAATTTGTTTACCTTTTCAAAGAACCAACCTTTTGCTTCATTAATCTTCTACATAGTTCTTTTGTTCTCAATTTCATTTAGTTCTGCTCTGATCTAGGCTATTCCTTTTCTTCTGCTGAGTTTGGGATTGGTTTGCTCTTATTTTCCCAATTCCTTAAGACTATTCCTTAGATCGTTGATTTATAATCTTTTTATCTTTTGGATATAAGTTTTCCTCTTAGGATTGTCTTTTGGATTGTAAGTTTTCCTCTTAGGAATGCTTTTGCTGTATCTCACAGATTTTGGTAACTTTTGTCTGCATTATCATTTAGTGCAAAGAGTCTTTCAATTTCCATCTTTATCTCCTCATTGACCCAACTATCATTCAGCAATACATTGTTTAGTTTCCATGAGTTTGTGTAGGAATGAGTGTTTCTGATATAATTTATTTCTAATTTTATTACACTGTGGTCTAAGATGATACATGTATAATTTCTATTTTTTAAAATTTGTAGGCCAGGATGTGATCAATTTTAGAGAATGTTCCATAAGCTGATGAGAAAAATGTATGTTCAGTAGTTCTGGTGTAGAATGTTCTGTGAATGTCTTTTAGACCCATTTGTTCTAGATTTCTGCTTAAGTCCATTGTTTCTTCACTTGTTTTCTGTATGGAAGCTCTGTCCTGTTCTGTCAGTGGGGTACTGAAGTACCTTGGCAGTTATGGTGCTGCCGTTTATCATTTTGCTTACATCAAGTTGAATTTGCCTTATGAATCTGGGCACTTCTATGTTAGGTGCAAAAATATTTAGGATTATTAAGTCTTCTTGTTGAATAGTTCCCTTCACCATTATATGGTGACCATCTTTGTCTTTAACTTTGTTGATTTGAAGTCTATGTCATTTGATATAAGAATGGCCATACCGGCTTTCTTTGGTTTCTATTTGCATAGAATGTTGTTTTCCATACTTTCACCTTGAGTCTAAAGGACTCCTTGTGGTTAGATGTGTTTCCTGGAGATAGCAGTACTTGGATAATATATTTTTAATCTATTCTGCCAGTTTATATATATTCAGAGAGGGGTTCAAGCCATTCGTGTTTATTGGAAGTATTGATATGTGTGGTAGACTTTT